CGACCGACCACCTGGAGGATGAGGAGGAAGGACGGAGGATGAGGGAGGGAGGAATATACCCCCTCCCGCACCCTGCACACTCCTCCGTCCCCTCCTCGCCCATCATCCTAATCTCCAAGGGGTCTCCCGAAATCTCTGGAGGCCATCCTGGGCCTCCTCCGCTCCTCCTCCTCTTCCTCCTGCCCCCCACCCCCCTCCCCCCCCCGCACATCGGCCAGCGCCCCTGTCGCGATGGTCTAGAGGCCCACGGGCGGTGTGCGCACGTGCGCACGGCCGATCACAGCCTAACGAAGCTACTGATGGGCTGATTTTCCACCACCACCACCACCACAGATGGGAGAGGGAGGAGGAGGAGGAGGAGGAGGAGGAGGAGGAGGAGGAGGAGGCGGCGGCGGAGGAGGAGGAGGAGGAGGAGGAGGAGGAGGAGGAGGAGGAGGACCTCCCCATCCTCCCTTCTCCCCCCTCCTACCTCTGGTAGCGGTGGTGGAGAGTGGGCCCATCAGCTACAGCCTCCTTCGTCCTCCCCCTCCTCAGGCGCCGCGCGCCGCTGCGCGCGCGCGAGGCACGGAGCCCGCGGCCGCTCGCGGCCCCCCGAGGGAGGAGGGCGGCAGCAGTGCCCTGTTCAACACGAGAACCCAGCACACGGGAGGGTTGGGGAAAGAAGTCGCGGCACACCGAGGGCCAGGGCTCGCGGCCGCACCCTCAGACCTGACGTTGCCGAACAAGTTCAGCGTCGCAAGAAATCACCAGCGGAGCCCCAGACCCCATTGTCATAGTTCTGCAGGATCTTTCAAACTGGATCAATCTGTGAGGGCCCCAAAGCCCGAAAGCGAGCAAACCGCCCGCTGTGTAAGAATTGCATGGCCGGGATCTCAGAGATCTAAGAGGAGGAGCAGAAGGAGCATAGGAGATCGAGGAGGGGAAGGAGAAGGAGGAACAGGAGGAGGAGGAGGAGGAGGAGGAGGAGGAGGAGGAGAAGGAGGGCAGCAAAACCGCCTGCGGTGAAAGAATTGAAACAGGGTCAGGACCTCAGGGAAGATCGCGAACGCCTCGCCCTGTAGGCCTCGGGCCGACTTCGTCCGCGAGGGCCTCCGCCGCCTATCGGTAGGACGAAGGGGGTAGGATAGCAAAGGGTAGGGGTAGAGAGTCAGCTCACGTAGCAGACTTCGCACCCCCCCTTGCCCTATCCTGCCCCGTCGCCCGGCCTCAGCCTACGGAGGGGGGGGGCGGGGGCCCGAGCGCCGGCAGCAGGGCGAGGCGGGCCCCTCGTGCACGCCCACCGCCCCCCCCCCTTCGGCCATTAGAGGCCCACCCTCAAGCAGAGTCCCACCACGCAGCCGGTGGGAGGCCGACTTTGGGGGGAGGCAAGGCTCCTTCAAAGGAGGCCGCTGCCCCTCTCTGCGTGTGGCCGACGGCCCATGAAGGAAACGAATCGGGGGCGCGCAAAACATGGATTAGCGATCCGTGGATTTGGCGCGCGGTCGCCAAATCCATGGATCGGGAGAGGTGCCCTCCCCAAAATGCGGCCGGTGCCGCCTCGCTCGGCGGCGGAAATCCGCGATTTCCCGTGGAAACGGGACCCGTCGCTGATCCGCGCCCCCCACTGACCCATGTCTGCGATCGCCCAAACGAACGCGCTGATCACCTCCTGCTCCAGTGCCGGGTCCACCGCCCCCCGGGCCATGAGAGGCCCACCCTGGGCCCACACGAGCGGTGCAGGCGCCCCCCAAAGGGCCTCGGCCAGGGAAGCATCCCGGGGCCGATGGGATGCTACAGCGGGCTCGCGTCGTGCAGACATCAGCGTTGGTCTCTGACACAGCGGGGATCGTTCGCTTGAACGATCCGCCGTTTCCGAAACGTCAGATCGTTCAACATCGAACGATTCAGGGTCGCCCGCGACGTTCGACGATCGCCGGCGGCGGGGGTCGCCGACGTTCGACATGAAGCGAGCCGATCGTACGCTTTCAACCACGGGCTCCTTGTTACCCGTCGGCTTTGAGGCGGTCTCCGGCGGTCTCCTGACGGCCTTCGGCGGCGGCCTCTGATGAGGTCTCCCCGGTGGTCCTCGGCGAGAAGGCTGAGCGGCCCCGTGCACAACAAGGGGTACACGTCGGTCTGAAGACGTAGGCAGAGCGCGTTTCTGTATTCGCGGCGATAGCGGGCGTTCGGGGGGCGGGGGGAGCATAACGCAACGCCCTCCCCAGCCGTGTGGCTCCGGCACCACAGCAGAGTCCGCGCGGACGACGACGACGAGCGACGAGCGACGAAAGACGAACGACGAGCGACGAGCGACGAGCGACGACGACGACGACGACGACGACGACGATCTTATCAAATTCCGCCAGCCCTATGGGCGCAGGCGGTCCAACGATGTCTCTCTTCCTTCGTCCAAGAGCCCCTCTTCTCCTTCGGGGGAAGATTTATAGCTGTTCCTTTTTATGATAGGCCCACTCACCCAGGCGACCGGGGGCCAAACAGGCACCATGCCGACACCACGCGGACACCATGCCGACCCTTCCCAACACCCCTCAAAAAACAATACAAATCGTACTCTGCCTCCACATGTGGAGCATGCGCGGCCAAGCCGAAGCGGCCCCCCTCCACCATCCCTGTCAAAAAACGATGCAAAGTACACTTTGGGGTTAAGTCTTGAGTCATCTTCGTGAGGCCCGCGATCTCTTTGTATTGTTTTTGACAGGTACGGCGGGGGTATCATCATATTCCCTGCTGCGCGCTGGGCTACCATCCCTGACAAACAAAACGCTACAACATGCACCTCGCGGCTCAATCTGGATCATGCGCGGCCATCCCGCGATCACTGTCAAGTAGTTTTTGACAGGGACGGCGGGGGTGGTGGCGCGTGGCCTGCTGTGCGCAGGCCCACAAGGCACAATGATGGGCATCGGTTTTCGACAAGGATGGTGGGGGGCCGACGTGTTTCCCGATGTGTGATGTTACGTGCGCAGGCGCACCTGGCGCACTCTGCACGTGCCCCGAACGCGGCGCACCTGGCGCGGCTGGAGCGTGCGGCACACCTGGCGCACTCGGAGAACGTGGCGCATCTGGCGCATCTGGCGTGCCAGGCGTGCCTGGCACGCTCGGGCCCCACGGGTGCCTGGCGCGCGTGGCGCCCTTGGCACGCGTGGCGCACCTCGCCCAAGCGTCGCGCACCTGGGGTCGGCTTTGGTTCCCTCTAGCTGCCCATCCAATTACGACCGCTGGACATGCTCAGGCTCGGGTGTTACTGATGTGAAAGGAGGGCGGGTGGGAGTGAGCTAGAGGGCTTGCGGGCGGGTGGGTAACTTGACCCCTCCCCCTACACTTTCCGCTGGACCTGGAGGGGGGGGGGGGGGCGCGAGGTGTCAGAGGGTCCTTTTGGCCCAAGGTGTTTCCAAGAGGGCGCCAGAGCCCAAGATGGCCTCCAGGATCGCTCGAGATAGCCCAACATGGCTCAAGATAGCTACCAGCATGCCTCCAAGAGGCCACAAGACGGCCAATCCTTGATCAACCTACAAAAATCTGTGATGTTGGCCTTCTCGCCAGTTCGCTTCCCATGCGTTTTTGAAGCCTCAGGGATGGCCCCAAGATGGTCCACAAGAGAACTCCAAGGGGGGCCCAAGAGGCCACCAGAACGGCCCCAAGAGCGCCCAGCATCGCCCCAAGAAGGCCCCAAGAGGCGATTTCGAGGACTCTTAAGGGGGGGGCTAGATAAAGGACCCCCCTTTTGACCGATGGTTTCCAAGATGGCCCCAGGAGGCCCTCCGAAGCCCCGAGAAGAGCCCAAAGAGGGCCCCAAGACTCCCCCCAAGAGCCCCAAGAGGACCCCACGAACCCCCAGAGCGTCCCAAGAGGGCCCCGAGACTCCCCTAACGAGCCCCCAGGACCCCAAGACAAAAACCTCATATCTCCAAGAAGGCCTCCGATGCTACAGGATAGCCTCCAACATGGCTCAGCACGTTCCTCCCCCTCCTCTCTTTGACCGCTCTGTTTCACTATGTGCGCCTCTGCGTTCCATTTCCCGTCAGCTATCGTAGGAAAGGCTTCTGAATGGTCTAGCGGGGATTCGCGGAGCGTAAACAAGTCAACATGCGAGTTGATTGTTTTTTGTCTGGCCCTGGCCCACGTGCACCACAGCGCCCATAAAAGGAATGGAGACGAATGGCGAGGAATGGGGAGGGTAGGTGATGGTAATGCTAATGGTAGCGCTTCTGTGTGCACCGCAGTTCGTGTGCGCACGAGCCACGACCAGGGGCCACGAGCCACGACCAGGATCCACGCGCCGGGCCGAGCCCAGCCTCTTCCGCCTCTTGGCGCCCAAATGGCTTGACAAAAAATGGCGATGCGGAGGAGAATGAAGGGGAGAGAGGGGGAGAGGGGAGGGGGAGGAGGAGGAGGAGGAGGAGGAGGAGGAGGAGGAGGAGCAAAGCAAAGCAAAGAACTCTGGGACCCAATGTCTCTCCTTAGCTACGAGACTAAATAGTTTGGGTCTAAGTGCTGCAAGAGCATACTTCCCACATGAAAGGCCCTGTTGGCGGGGAAAGCGCACTAGCCTAGAGACGACCCCCGTGGAGGAAATATCCAGTGGGCGACTCATGGCACCACCCCTTCCCACAGCAGAGCCCCTCGTAGGACACTAGGCAGGCCCCCTCGAGCCCACTCCCCGCGACCTCCGACCCACGGGCTTCGCGCGGGCCTGAGCTACACATGTAGACTTAGCATCATGGGCACTCCCCCTTACAGCAAAGAGATTCGACGTGGCCGAACGCGCCACAACAGAAACAGCCCCAGGCCCCTGCCCCGAGGATCCCGAGGCAGGAGAGGGGAGTGCACCACGACGCTGTAGTTCTAGAAAGCGCTCACTACCACGAAAGGCAGGCGGAGGAGGAGGAGGGCGACGACGAGAAGGAGGAGATCGAGGGGCCACGGATCGACCGAGGGCCGAGGCCGAGGACCCAGGACGGACCCCGAGAGACTGCGCACTATCGTGAACTACTACGGACTCAGATCGAGATGAGATCGTCGATGGTACCGTCGTCGTGAAGGGCCTCCGAGAAGACCCAGTAGAAGCTGCAGGACGGTCCACGCTAGTCGTCGAAAGCATCGGCAAAGGTGAAGTAGTACCAACACTGATACCTGCAATTCGAGACTGTGATATATCATGAGAATCCCCAGGCACACATACACCACTAGAAACAGCAGCCCCATCATGCGCGCCACTCTCGTGACAAAAATCTGTAAAAGCAGGTCTTGCAGTAGAAGGCAATTGAGCGATAACCCCAGCAGGAGATGGACACACCAGAGAATGGTGACTGATGGCATGTTGTAAATCATCACCTGGAGACTGTAAATCGTCACCAGATACTCTGTTGGACCGAGCCGCCTTCAAAAGATACTGAATCTTGGCATCAATAGATCCCGACGAGACCTCACGAGCCACCTGCCCGAGTCCAGAGCCACCGTCTACTGCTGCTTGCCCTCCATTTTGTCGAGCAGCCTCTGGGTGTCTCTCTCCAAGGCCCCCTTGGGAGCCGCTCCGTATTTGCGAACCCCACCGATCGAAGCCAGGTACTTCAGCAGCGCCCCCTCTAGGTCGCGAAACTGATCGTCGACCGCGAAGGTGAGGCGCATGAGATTGGGCTTCCCCTCCTGCTTCCTCGTCGGGCGGAGCCTGCAAGCTCGAACGCTGGTCGCTACCGTGTCGATGTCGTTCTTCAAGATGAAGTCGTCCAAGTAGGTCTGGAATACCTGTTGGACCTCGGGCGCAAGACCAGCCTGAGTGCCGATACTGCGAATGAGCGCGACCCACACCTGCACGAACGGCGGGCCCATGGGAGTGGCGTCGTTGGCGGCCTTGCGACGCTTGGCCTCTTGGTGGTAGTGAACGCCCGCCTGCTTGGCGGCCTGCACCACGGCGTGGTCTGCGTCCAGTAAGAAGGTGATAAACACCACGCCGCAGAGCTCCCGCAATTCGGCCGCGCTGCTGAGGGACAACCTCGCCAAGATCATGACGAGCGCCTTCAGAGTGCCGCCGCCGCCTTTGCCCTCCGCCATCGCCTGGGACACGAGCTCCTCCGTACGTCCGCGCTTGTGCCGCGGCTGCTCGGTGCCCTCCGCCGCGGCCGGGGCGGGGTCCAGGAGGAGGAGGAGAAGGAGGAGGAAGAGGAGGAGGAGGAAGAGGAGGAAGAGGAGGAGAAGGAGGAGGAGGAGGAGAAGGAGGAGGGAGGAGGAGAAGAAAGAGTTTTTATCGGAAACACAAAGTCACAATCTCGGATCCCTGTGCGGATCCCAGTGCGGAACCCTATGCGGATCCCCATGCGGATCCCCGGCCGGATCCCTATGCGGATCCCTGTGCGGACCCCTTATGCAGATGCTTATGCGGATCCCGATGCGGGCCCCGATGCTGGATGCCTATGCGGATGCCCATGCGCATTGCAATGAGAATCCATATGTGAATCCCCATGCGGATCCTTACGCGGATCCGTATGCGGATGCCTATGCGGATGCGCATGCATATCCCTACGCGGATCCCAATGGGATTCCCTATGCGGACCGGACCCATATGAGGACTTCTATGCGGACGCCTATGCAGATCCCGATGCCCACGGCGGCAAGCGTTACATTATGGGGGGGGAGGCTGGGGGCCAGAGCGCCTGTTATGGCACAAGAAGTAAAGAAACAGGATCGTAGAAACATGAAGTACGAAAGCGTTGAACATAAATTGGGCTTCCAGGCGGCGTGCGGCCGCGCTCCAGGGACAGGTGGCGGCCGCGGTTTCTCTGCGCGGCAGCCCTCCGCCTCCGCGCAGCCGCTCGCCCGGGCTACGCCGCCGCCGGACTGCGCGCCGAAGCCGTGTCGGCCGCGACAGCCGCGGGAGAGCTGGGTCGGACAAGCGGAGAGGGGATCGTGAAGGGGCCCAGGAACACACAACTAAATGGGCACAAATCTCAGCATTCTCCATATTTTCCCTGTTTCCTGGATGTTCGTCTTCCCCTCAACTTCCAACATCTTCCAGCTGTTCCTGGGAGTCCGCGACTATTTGTCTGTGTGTTTCTTCCCCTTGGCGGCGCGCACAAGGGGGTGGAGGGAAGGGGGAGGGCCTCTTGCAAGGAGGCTGCTTTTTAGAGGGCATCGGTCCTACATGTACAGGTGAGGCCTGCGCCTTCTAAGCAGCAAGGGCGCTTCTAAGATGCCCTCCCCACTCTCCTAGGCCGATTTTCCACCACCACTACCATGGGCAGGAGAGGGAGGAGGAGGCGTACATAGGAGGAGGTGAAGAAGAGGAGAACGGGGAAGAGAAAGAGGGGGAGAAGGACGACGAACGCTGCAACACATTGGCTTGAGTTCGCCACGGTTGCCCAGAAAACCGTGGCAGTGCGCCAGCCCTAGGGGGCCAGCCTCAAACGAATTCTCATTTGTCCCACAGATGATTCAGCCTTTCCATCCCATACTCTTTTGCATTCCGTTTCGAGTACAGCCTCAAGTAACGCCGTCAGGTGACGTCACCACAACTGCGACATCAGCCAATCCAGCCTGGCATCGTCAACTGCGCGAATAACGAGCGGCAGCACGAGTACTACTACGAGTCGCAGCAGCACGAGAACTTCTTAAACAGGGTACGAAGCACAAGCTCGACCCAGCTCGACAACTTCTTGCAGCGCACCGCAACACTCCACCACCCACCACGATTTCCCCTGCAAGTCCCACGAAAGGCGACATCGTGGGGGACAACCGCGAGCGGATCGGGAGGTGCGCCACCACTATGGAGGTCGACATCGAGCCGCCCACGAAGCAGAAGAGCTACTCAGCGGCCTACCACACCGGCCATTGGGCCAGACCTCGAGCGCTGGGGGAGCAACATCTGGACGGACTCCAGTGGGCCAAGGACCACACTGGAACGTAGTAGAACCAGACCTACGGCGGGAAAGGCAAAGACCTTAGTGACAAAGGAAACGCCACCAAGAACGACGATGAGGCCGACAACCGGAACCAGCAGGGCAAACACAAGAGCAACAGGGGCAAGGGCAAGGCAACGGCCGAACCCGTACAGGAAATGACGCCCAAGAAGAAAAATACGAACCAGGTGTAAAACGACCGCATCACCAACACGATTAACAACGCCATGCCGATGAGGAAGATCTACGCCACCAGGAGACAGGACTGGGAGCTACCACCAAACGACCTCAAGTTGGGGGACGAGTGGGAGAAGACCATGCACATACAGCAGAGGCGTGCTGCAACAGCCATTGCAAAAAACAGTGCAGCAGGCTTACCCACGACCGACGCAGTCATGCAGATCGCCTGCACCAGAGCCATGATCCTCAACATAGTGCCCCTGGCCCAACTGGCAAGAGAATTGACAACAACTGGCATGATCCTCAAAATAGTGCCCCTGGCCAACTGGCAAGGACCACTACAAGCACACCGAAACGCGCCAGAACCAGATTCGATATACATGAAGGAGCTGGAAAATGAAATCGAAAAGCTCAACATCCTGCAGCGCGACATCAGCAACGCCAAGGACGACAGCTCCAGCGACACAGGAGCTGCTGACGATGAAGCTGCAAGACCACAAAAATAAATACCACCAAGAAGGGCGTCTACACCAACACCTCGGAGACAAACAAGGGCTGGGGAAACTACGGAAGGACAAGACATCGGCACCTTGCTCAGAACGCTGCAGGAACACAACCAACGCATGGCGAGACAACTAAAAACGGAGGCCACCGACGAGATTTACGCTCTCAAGAAACGCCTGCGTGAAGCGGAGGAAGCCGCCCGCGAACGTGGTGAACAGCAACATACGGGGGCCTCTCAGGCTGTCGTGGTGCGTTCATAGGAGTATAGTGGGCCGTCTTTAAGCATGAGAACGCAGAACAACAAAAACATTACGCTAACACTTTCAAAACCAACAGAAAAATATGATGTGGACATCCTAGGGCCCTCTTGGGGCTCCGGGTTTAGGGACCCTCTTGGGCCTACTTGAAACTATCTTAGGCTTCCTCGAACGTTCTTCTACTGTCTGGGGGCCCTCTGGGCTCATCTTGGTGGCCTCTTGGGCCCCTCGTGCCCGTCTTGAGACCCTCTCTGCGCGCTCGGAGGCCCCCAAGGCGGGAACCTGGAGACGCACAAGGGTCGGAGGGTGGTAATATGGGGTCACCTAGATGATGGCTGAAGCAGGGATCGAACTAGACAGTGTTTGTCGTTTTCGTTTTGGTCTCGGTTTCCCTCATTGTGACTTCCATCCGCCGTTGCTGAAAAACGACATCGAAACGAAAACGGCCCACGAAATCGCCAAAACACCGCTTAGGTCGACCCTTGGGGGGAAAAGAAAGACCCTGAAAGGGCCCTTTAGGACCCTTTTCTTCACCCCCCGGTCAGGCCATCCCCCATTACCACCCGCCCGAAGGGGGGCAGCTCGATGAAGCCCTGCCCCCAGGATCTCCCACACAGTCGAGGTACGACCAGAAGGAACGCTAAATAAGGAACGAAGTCCCCTTTTGGCCCCAAAAGCGCATAGGTCCACGAGGAGGGCCAGAGGAACATCCTTGGAAGAGCGCAAGGAGCAGCGAGCCTCCTTATGTGAACGTCTTGGCCGTAGATGTATACACAGGTGCCTGCTCCCCTGTGGCTTGGTCTGGTTCAAGCCCCACAGGCCGTTTCCGCAAGTGTTGCCCTCGACAGGTGGCGGGTCGGTGGACGATAAGGGAAACACTAAAAGGGGGACAGGGAATCAGCTGCATGCAGCTAGCAGCGCCAGGAGCGATCAACAGAGGTGCCCAGCGGAGGGGACCGAAACCAAATGCATGTTCGTACCCCCATTCTCCCAGTCCGTCCGACCCACATGACTGGACGAGGACGGAGCAGGAGAGTTGGACATTGCACTCAACACCTGCACGAAAACGAAGGACTCGCATGGAGGAAAGGTCCTTCGTACCCAAGACCCAAAGACTTTCCCCCGGAAACATTTGCTGATCCGTCGTTCAATGGTGGTCCCGTGGCCCAGGGAGGACAAAAATTGATGACCCGTTTCCCCAAGATCCGTTTGCTTCACGGCGAAGAGGAGGAGGAGCAGGAGGAAAAGGCGGAGGAGGTCGCAGGCAGGGTCTGGACCCATGGGTACAGCGCGGCTTTGGACGCCACGCGCGGAACGCGTCTATGGCATCGCGTATCCACGGTATCGCGGCTCGGAATCCAGGCCGCGGACGCCTGGCCATGAACATAGTGGCACGCCCGTGACGGGATGACACGCCCGGAACAGCATGGAGAAATGATACGGGACCCCAACAGTAATTGTTGCTCAAACCGACAGCGGTCGCAGTTCGGCAGGCGACTTCTGGTCTCAAATGGACAACGTCCGCAGCGACATCGACAGCGAGGCCTGTTCAAGACGGTAAGGATCTGCCGTAGGTTTTCGCCCCTGTTCTTGGGGAAGCCGAAACATACCGATACCGCTACCCCCTCGGACCTCACCCGGGGTGCGTTCTGACCAGGATTTCGAAGCGACTCCAGCGGTGGCGACGGGGGCCTCCCAGGAGGCCGAAAAAAAAAAAAACGGGCGAGGGGGTAGAGGTATGGGTACCTTTTTGTTCCTCCTCGGAAGGTATTCGTTCCCCGTCTGTCCGTCACAATTTCGGCCACCCAGGGGCGAGAACGGAGGGACCGTCTCCATCTCCGCTGGTCTCCGCCGAAGGCGAGGGCAGGCCGCGGACCCCTTGCTGTGGGAGCCAGGGCACCAGACTGAAACGGACTCCTGCGGGGGCCACTCGGCACTCGGGCCTTCACACGGCTCTCCAGCGGGCGCAGCTGCCAGGACACCTCCCGAGGCCGGGAAGCCTCCGCGGACCGACGAGCGCCTCGGAGACAGAGACGACGAGGACGAACGCCTTGGACGGAGGACGGAGACGGAGGAGAAGGCGGATCGTGGACTTCCCGGAGGGGAGCCGAGACGCCCTCGGAGAACGACCCAAGTCCCAAATCAATGCGGCCACCCCGAGCCCATATCTCCCCTTGTGACTCATGGAGACGAATGCGAAAATTACTCCGACGGTAAGACCCACATGAGCTTATATCTTAGTTTGTCTGTGAATGGTCCGAACCTCCTTTCCATCCCACCCCTTGGATTCAAACCATGAGCTCAAGACTTCCTCCACACTCAATCATCAGGAGCGCACATATTACGACAGGTACAGGTTTCGAATGACCCCCTGGGATTCAAAACATGATGTGCGGGCCCCGTGGGGAGGGGGCTCCCGCCTGAGACTTCTTCGCAATTCACTCACAGACAAGGCCCCCGCCTGAGACTTCCTGAAGATTCAAGCCTCAGGGGCCCAAACGTGACGACAGCTACAGGTTTCGAACGACTCGCTCGGATTGATGACATGACCTGCGGGCTCCAAAGGGAGGGATTCCCGACAGAAATTCCCTCGCCATTCACTCACACACAAGGCCCCCTTCCTGATACTTCCTCAAACCTCAAGCCTCGGGGGCCCTGAACATGATGATGGTGATGATGATGATGATGATGATGATGGTGATGGTGATGGTGATGATGATGATGATGATGATGATGATGATGATGATGATGATGATGATGATGATGATGAGTGAGTGACTGCGTGAGACTATGCTGATGATGATAGTGCTGCTGTTGATGATGATGATGATGATGATGATGATGATGATGATGGTGATAGTGATGATAATGAGGAGGCTGATGATGATGCTGATGCTGATGATGATGATGATGCTGATGATGAAGGTGTATGTGCATGGAGAAAAAACAGGATGGGAGAGGGTGGGTGTTTTGTCCTGCGCGGGGGTGTCCAGAGAAGACAAAACCACACTTAGGATGTGGGGATAAACTCAAAAGTGCTCAGGGAGCTGGTCTAAGTCGGAGCTCAAACTCACGAGGTTCCTGCGGGTGGGTACGCATGGAGAGATAGGGCCGATTCTGGGCCAATGGCGGCGTTCAACCATGACCGCCCGCGCTGGGGTCGCAGTCGCGTCGACACGACGCGAACCTTCTGAACGTCCGTTTCCCCCCGTCCTCGCGCTCGCCATCCCCAACAGCAGCCAGACCGAACCGCATTCTCCGTGCTCCCTCTCCGCCCACCTCGATGGCCTGCGTGGGGAGTGGGAGGGGGGGGGCACGACTGCTCCTTTTGCGTGGACTAAGGCCGCCAGCGTCAGTAGAGGCCTCCTGGATGCGGTCCGACTGCATAGGGTCGGAGGATCGCGCCGAATCGTCGACGCATCGACGATGCTGCGGCGACGTCGGTGATGCCCTGGCGACGCCGGCTTGAAGGGAATCGGGCTCCACGCAGAGCCCCATCGACGACGCATCGGCGATGCAGCGCGACCCTCCGACCCCATGGCAACTCCGACCCAAGCCTGGAGCCAGCGTCAGCCTCAGGCGGATCACCAGACTCGGGGGCGCGCAAACATGGATTGGCGATCCATGGATCCGGGGAGGTGCCCTTCCCGTGCGGCCGGTGCCGCCTCGTTCGGCGGCGGAAATCAGCGACTTCCCACGGAAACGGGACTCGGGAGCGGCAAAGAGGGGGGTGTCCAAAAGGGGGGGTGCAAATTATGGCCGGCGTCACGTGCGCGGCCCAGCGGGGGGACCAGGGACGTCATGAAATAAGAAGAGGCGCCATGAAATCTGGGGAAAATCATGGCCCGCGCCATGATATCCACCCCCCCCTAGTCATCACCCCCCTCTTTGCCGCCCCCGAGGGACCCGTCGCTGACCCGCGCCCCCCACGGACCCGTGTCTGCGGTCGCCCGACGGACGGAGGACCGGAGGGCGGAGACCCAGAGGGAGCGGGAGCGCGGGCCGACGACCGACCCCCCGCGCACCCGCGGGCCTCAGCGCGCGGCCGTCGGCGTGGCCGCGGGCCCTCTGCAAGGCTGGGGGCCTGGGACGCGGAGGGCGCCACTGGGCTCCTCCCTCCTCTTCGCCCTCGCCCCTCTCCGCCCCTCTCTGCCTCCTCCTCCTCCTCCTCCTCCTCCTCCTCCTCCTCCTCCTCCTCCTCCTCCTCCTCCTCCTCCTCCTCCTCCTCCTCCTCCTCCTCCTCCTCCGCTATTTCCGCTATTTGCGGCGGCCTGAGGGGTCCGCTCCCTGAGCCGCAACAGAGGCGCCACTGCGCCCATGCCTAGCCGCGCGCGCGGCCGACACGCGGGCGCCCTCGGCGCAGGGGGGGGGGGGGGCGCCCAGGGGGAGAGGAAGGGGCCACCAGGATCTCTCGGGGCGGAGGACGAGCGGGGAGGGCGAGGCCCAGGTGAACCTAAGAGCCAGGTACCAGAGGACCCCGCCAGGAGGAGAGAGGAAAGCCTGCATGGGCCCCAAGAGGAGAGGGGCGGGGCCCTATGGCCTGCGACTTGCCCTCTGGCCCGATGCGCTGCCGCCCAGGAAAGCAGCCTCAGCCAGCTGCGTCACCTGTCCTGGGCGGCAGCGCACAGGCCCTGGAGCCAGGTGGGCGAGGGCCCGCCTGGCGCGCCACCCCCTTTACCCCCACAGAGCACAAGGCCCGAAACCAAGAAACAATAAACGAACAACCTGCATGAGGACAGGGGGGCAAAGGGGGCGACGCCGTTCTTTAGTCCCCATCTACGTGGCCCCGCGGCCCTCTCAGGCGCCGTGGGCGGCGGCTCGCGAGCCTCTGCCCGCTCTCCGACCTCCAGCGCCCAGGCCGTGTCGAGGCCGGTCTGCGTGGCCCAATACTTCATCTTGAACCTGCGGTTCAACTCGCGGTACTGCTTGATTATGTAGCGCTCGCACTTGTGGCACTCGACTCAGTCGTGCTGGCCGAGGTAGTACTGGTTGGCTCTGAACGCCCGACAATGCAGCCCTCGACTCCGTCACGCTCGTCACCATGTTGTGGCTTGGCACTGTAGTCCACGATCTATGGTGCCCGACTCGGCCATGCTGGTCACCATCCTGCTGCTTATGACTGTGATGCCACCTTGTGGTGATCGACCATGTCTTGGTGGTTCAGGTAGTGGTGATTGAGCAGCTGGCCATCTTTATGTAGTGCTCGTCTCATGCGTGCTGGTCGGACCGCTGGTGCACCCCCACCGCGTAGGATTGGGCGATGCACAGCTTGGCTCGGAAGTCTCGAACTGCGATTCTCAACTCGGTGGCGGTGTTCTGATGGTACGGCTTGATGTGGTGCTAAGCTTTTGGTGCTAGGCTCGGTCGTACTGGTCGAGGTGGTCTGCTTGACTGTGCAGCGCTCGAACTCGCAGTACTCGGCGCAGTCGCTGAGGTACCTGACGTGCTGGTGCATGTGGGTCGTTGGGAGGTCGGATTGCTGTTGGTGATGTGGAATGGGCTGGGCGCACTTAGGGCCTCCATGCACCGACTTCAAGTAGGGTTCGTGGCGGCCCCACCTCGTCCCGCTATGGCTAGGGGCCACAGTGCCCTCGGTGGGGGCGAACCCCAGGCCCAGTGATATCTTTGTCGGTGAGGAATGTCTCGGCTGCCCTGTGCTTCGCCCGTGGGCGATCGGGTGCTCCTCCTCCGCCATGGGGACGGTGGGGGTGGCGAGCTAGGGCGGACCGCGGGGGCGCGGGCAGTTGCGTCCTACCCCCCCCCCCCCCCTGCTCCTCACCATCCCCCTGGTAGGCGCGGGCAGTACTCGTCCTGCCCCCCCACCCTTCGAGCCCGTCTCGAATTTTGATCCTTGCCTCACCCGGGCAGCGTTGGCTTGTGCTTGGCGTGGTGGGCATACCATCTGGCTGGTACCTCTGAGCTCTGTCCGTTCGATCGCGATGTGCAACAATGCTGCAAAACGTGGCGACTTGTGCCTGGGGTGTTCCCTCGCATTCGGGGCTTCCCCAGGACTTGCGTCCTTACAATTTGTGCAAAACTTGGCGACGTTGCCTGAGGTGTTCCCACGCACTCGGGGCTTCCTCAGGACTTGCGTCCTGACACTTTTGTGCTTGTCGTCAACGTTCTTCATCGCGATCAGCATCATCAAGCTGTTCCCTATCAGCACTCATCGAGTTGGCGGCCCTGCTCAGAGCCTTGTCGGGTCGGTCAAGCAGGGCCCACTCCCTCGCCTCCTCCAACCAGGTCGGGGCGCTCCCTCGCCCCGTTGGGCCACGGTGGTAGTCCTGGCCCATCTCCCTGGTCTTATAATAATCAAGCGGCTGAAAGAAGTAAGCCACGTCATCGTCGATATGCCATACGTTGGCGTCACTGGGCGTCTCGCCGAAGCGCCATCTTATCTGCTCCATCAGCGCCGTCGCGATGGCCTGGCACATCCTGCCCGGGTGCTCCTTAGCGGCCGCGGTGCGCCACTGGCCCTGGTCGTTGATGCCCGCCAGCTCCGCGTGGTAGGTGGCCGTGTGGAAGCACCTCCCGCCTCCAGGCAGCCTTCTTATCTCCGAGTGGAGAGTTGGAAGGGCTACCGCCAGCAGGCTTGTGGACTTTCTCGAGCGCGCCCCGCAGGTGCACCGGTCGAAGGTGATCAGCTCCACTCCCTGCTGGCCCAGGAGGTGGCGCATCTCGGGGAGCCTCCATGAGCTGGCGAAGTGCTCCTCGGTGGGCTCGCACGGGTGCTCGAGCATGCATGGGACGCCAAGGTTGAGGCACATGTACATGAGCTCCAGCTGTGTCCTGTATAGGCGATTGCCTACCGCTACCTGTGCCATCTCTGGTCGGGAGAGGTAGCGGAGGCCCCACAGGCTGTTGCTGCTCCTCAGGGGTCTCGGTGGGCGACCCCTGCAAGCGTTGGGGGGCAGGTGTCGCGCTCGGCTCCATGGCTCACACGGTGGTCCTCCGATGACTCCTGCGAGCCTTCCTGCCTGTGCCATGCTTCGCCACTTGCTGACTGCAACTTCCGATGTCAGGTCGCCGAAGGTCGGGTCGTTGACGACGTCCAGGCTGAGCATGTGTAGGTCACATGAGGCCCGACTGCAAACGCGGTCGAACCAGTCCTGAACATCTCCCTCTCGGCGACGACCGCTGAACAGGTGCAGCACGTATAGTGTACGTGCTGGCGGAGGCCTGGGCACCGTGGCTGGCGGTGGCGGCGGCTCTTCGGTGAAGGGGAGCTCGAGGTCCTGGTGGCGGCCGCTGTTGCTGTCGTCGCTGTCATCGTCCGTGTGTATCTCTGGAGGGCGAGCAGGGACGGCAGGCTTCTCTGCCCAGTCAATGGGATTTCCAGCCCTTCTATTCGCCTGCTGCTGGTCTCGCACCACTTGCTGGTTGTGCTGCAGCTCGGACTTGCTGAGAAGCGCTGGACGTGTCCTTCGCCAGTGTCGAGCGCACCTGCGGACGCGCAGCAAGTGCTTGACCAGCCTGCTAGTGGCGTGGTAGTCCATGCCGCATCCGTAGCAGACCGAGCCAGTTGCCCACGAGATGGGATGTTCCGACGAGGTGTGGTCCTTGGTTATGTGGGCCCTTAGTACTGCTGCACTGAGCTCTGTGCGCCCGCCATGGTAGCATAGGTACTTGCGCTGCTGCTCGAAGTGCTGGTCTGGGAAGGGCGAGATGGATTCCGTGTGGGTCCAACGCTGGAGTCGTAGCCGCCATCGGGCGTGGTGGTCGAGATCGTGCTGGCGGGCCGTGCCGCGTTGGCAAGCTTTCTTGACTGCACTTAGGTAGCTTTTGTACTCGTTCCTGGCCCAGTCCTTCCAGTCGTCGAGTGTGTAGGCTCCTCCTCGCTCATCTGGTCCTGTGTGGTCGCGGACCCAACCTAAGTCGCGGCGGAGCAATGCCACCCACCCGTAACTCCCGTCCCATGCCTGGCTGAGTAGCCGACGGAGGTGAAGGGGACCCCAGTTGAGGCTTCTACCGAATAGCCGAAGTCTCTCGAGGCGCAGGACGATCTCTGGGGGGGAGCTTGTCGACTCCTTCGAGGATCTGGGTGTTTGTGACTTCCTTCTTCTGTCGTGCTTTCCATGTGATCCTCTGTGCGGCGGCGTAGTTCACGATGTACTGGTTGTTGAAGTTCCTGGCCTGGCCTGCTGTGAGTTCGGGCCAGGTGGACGCGTTGTATAGCAGCTGGGATAGCACCACGCTGTCGGCTAGGTAGGCCTTGTCTTTGACGGCCAGCTCTGCTCGACGGTGGACTTCACGATGGAGAGGCCGCGTGGAGGTCGCAGCGGTAGCTACGTTCACTGCGACATCCACCCCAGGAGATGCGTTGTCGGCCACGTAGGTCCCGAGGAGCTTGTGGTGGCGGACTACCTCGACGTGGCTCTCCGCCAGGGGGGCCGCCATCTTCGGCACTCCGTTGGAGTAAAAGTTGGCCCGAGCTTGCCGGCTTCCAGGCCCGCTGAAGTCGATCATCACTTTGGTCTTGGTGAGCTGCAGCTGGAGGCCGAACGTGCTGGTGGCGCAGTAAACGGCCTCGCAGAACCCCGAGGCCTCGGTCTGAATGTGGTCGGGGCTGGTGAACGCGTGCATGCCCGTGAGGTCATCGACGAACGAAATGCCGTGGGGTTCGTGCTCCTGGAGTGGCCCGTCTGCGGGGTCGGTGGCGCATGCGAAGCTACTCTCCAGGGAGCTGCCCTGGGCCCTTAGCCCTCGCTGTGCAAGGTAGCTGTCGATCATGCGGTGGACGCGGCCAAAGAGCAGATTGAAGTCCGCGTCGGCGAGGGGCACTCCAGGCCTCGTGCCTTTGTGCGGGGCCATGAAGCTCTGGGAGAACCTGTGCGATGTCCACCTGTTGCGGTACCCTTCGGCGATGAGGGCAGCCAGGTGGGAGCCGTCCAGCACGGTGTCGAGTATCCCCGGGTTGGCCATGAGGTGCTCCAGCTGCGGCTGGGCCCAAAGGGGAACTTCTAGATTGTCGAGCACCTCCCTGACTTCATCCTCTTCGCCTGGGATGCTGTGGACCAGCTGGACGACCACCGAGTAGAAGGCTTCCTTTAGGTCGTAGCAGCTGATCATGGAGCACTTCCCTTG